TCACAAACTTGGCACACATTGAAGTGCCTGGTGGTGCTAGTCTGTTCTTTGACTCAACTGAAATTAACTCCATATTAACAGTCACCTGATTCTGTTCGGGAAACTCTTGAGCTAATTTGAATAAAGTTGGGAATGCAACTGAACATGAATAAATACCTACATACCAACTAATAATGCTCCCACCCCAAATTAATTTTCTGGGTAAATATCACTTGTTAAAATACAATGTACATTTTTAATTCAACAAAATCTAGACATTATACAGTACACATATGAAAATAATATATAATAAGAAATGTCACACAGCAGATGAATATTGCGCTTATAGTCCAGGGAATGTAATTTACGTCACTAATAGGCTCTTCACTGGGTACACAGTCAAGCTATATCACCCTCTGTAGTTAACTAAATGTGTATCACTGGATTTCCTGTTCGTCTAATTTATTCGTCCATTCTACTAAGTCATCAACTTCTTTTTCCCAGGGTTCATCAGGATGATGGTCTCCTTGTTCACTCTGAGCTGATGATGGTGGTGGCGCTAGAAAATAAAGAGATAAGCGGATTTTAATTAAACAGTCCACACTCACACCTTGATATGTATGGATTAGATCTTTTGTAAGGGAGGTGTCTTAGATATGCAATTAATGAGTTTGTTTCAACACCAATTTGAGTTCACAACACAGAAAAATGTTGTTGACCAGACCACACAAATGATATATGTTATTTTAATACTTAATTTTAATAATATCTGTCAAGAATATAAACTGTCATTGGGAGTTGAGAATGTATTCTGAAATATCGCACATGGGGCTTGAACCCTGCAGATGTTTATATATCTACAGTATTTTTAATTTCTCTATTTGAAGTGCATCTCTGAGAAGCACACATATACAAACAATTGCATCTATTGTATGTTTGATTATTAAAATATGACCCGTACATGCAGACAAACTACAAATAGAGGAAATACAGTATGTGTATTAGAACAGAAAAATTATGGCCAACAGTGCAGATTGAATGTCTGTCGCTAAAAATCAAATGACTTGATTTTGAACTTTTTTTAAAGTTTAATGTCGAAATATAAAAAAGAACATGGCACTGAGGTACTCTTACTTCTTCAAAATTGACCATCACCAATGGTGTATATCACATCATTAACCTTTTCACCACCAGTTTCCTCTATTCATCACAAATTCACAAAATGGTCCTGTTTATAGTCTGCACTTTCCTTCAAAAGATTGGGCGAAAAATAGTCAAATTTTTTGAGTGAAAACTGAAAATTGACTCAAACTTTGTCTGTTGGCTCCAAAATTAGGGTACATTTCCAGAAATATTGAGGAATATAAGAAAAAAGTGCAGAAAATTGTTGGGGAGAAAGTCGGGTGTGAAACGATTAAGTGTGAGCATTTGTAGAATCCTACATATTGTTTTGACATTTGTCCAATTTTTTACGTTTGAGGTCATAACAGGGAATCTTATAATAAACTGAAAATAGTCTAATTAATTTCACAACCCTTTTCAAAAACTAATCATGTAATATACCAAATGTGTTAAATTCTCGTGATCATCATCCAACTGTTCAAAAATTTCACCGATACATTCAACTGTGTTACGGTTTTTTCTTTGAATGGGAATTGTGCATCACATTTCCACTACTTAAAAACATTTTATATGGCTGGCTA